CTCTTTAGGGTTTTGGGACATCACTCTCTCGGTTCTTTCTTGCCTTACCTATCTGACTGTTCCTCAGGCTCACAATCTAGTGCTTAGAACAGTGCCTGGCACATAATATGCTCTTAATAAATGTTCATATATACAGATATGTATGCATATCTGTATGTGTATGTATATTATAGTATACATGCACCATTGCTTGTTACATAATTAATAGGCTAATTATACTATATAATTAATTAATATATGATAGATAATATCTCTATTAAATATAGTACATATTATATACACATATGTGAATATATATTATATATATGTTATATGCACAGAGAGAGAGAGAGAGAGAGTATGTGTATGTGTATGTCTTACTGCCCCTTATACTTTTCCAAATGGATTTCTCATAGATATCTAACATCAACAGGCCCCAAACAGAACTCATATTTCCCCTTAAACTTACTCCTTTTCCTAATTGCCCCATTTCTGGAAAGGATGCCACCATTGTTCTGTTCACCTAGTTTGCAACCTTGGAGTCATCTTCATTTTTCCTCATCCCCTAGCCTACTAGTCTTGTATAATCTACCTCCTCAAGTCTTTTGCATCATCCCTTTTCTCTGTATTCTGTACCACCCAATCTAGCCCCTAATCACCTCTTGCCTAGACTGTTGCAATAACATCGCAATTGATTTCCCTCCTTTTAGTCTCTCCTCTTCCAATTCTGTTTTCTACCGCCACTAGGTTGATATTGTTAAAGCCCAGGTCTGACCACGTCATACCCTTCTCATGAAGCTTTAGTGCTTTAACTTATTGCTTCTAGGATAATATACAGACTACTGTATCCGGCATTTAAGGGCTTTTGTAACACATAACTCCCTCTTATGTACTTTGTGCTATTCTCCCTCCCTCTCCTCAATTTCTCAGAATTCCTAGGTGCCTCCTCCTTCAGGAGGTCTTTGCTGTTTCCCTCAAATCTTAGTGCTTGCTCTTCCCAAATCATTATGGACTTAACTTAGATGTAGTATGTATTTACCTATTAATATGTTATGTATCATAGTATAATGTAAATTCCTTAGTGGCAAGTATTGTCTTTGTATCCTTAGTGCCTAGCACTAAGCAAGTAAATTAAGTGCTTAACAATTGATTATTGATTGGGTGATTGAGTCATGTTACAACATAGATAATTATTTCATAATTTATGTGTACCACGTACCAAAGTATACTTCCTGAGACATAATTCCAAACACTCAAACCATACTATAACAGTGTTGTTCTCCTCTCTTGAGAAGAGACAGGAAGCTGGGAATCAATAAGAAGCTGTTGTATTGTTCCATGGGAAAGGTTATGAGGACCTGATGTAGAGTTGAGGTTTTGTGAGTGTAAAGAAGGGGTTCAGTGACAGATAACACATTGAGTTGTGTTTTTACACATGATTAAAACAAACAAACAAACTTCAACTAGTCCTGTGTGGTGGGAAAGCCAAATATACCCCCATTCTGTAGAAAAGTGTGACTCAGAGACACTAAGTGTCATGGCCCTAGGCGACAGCATTGGAGCCAGTACTTGAACACAAAACTTTTGGGCCCTAGTCTAGTTGTCTTTAGGAAAAAGACAGAAATTTTGTGAATGAGAAATCCTAATGAGAATCTATTCTGTTAAATTTTTTTTTTTAAGATTTGAAGAATAAATAATAAAAATTATATACCAAAATTATTCACAATTCACATTTAGGTGAAATGTTTTAGAGAACATGAGAAAATGTTTGGAAAATGAAAAATACTTCCAAACAAGAGATGTTGTGTAGGAGCCTATTAGATTTGAAGTTTTTTAGGGCTTAAAGTGCTTGTAAGTCACTGTTAGTAATGATTTAAAGACTGGATATGTAGTTTTCTTAGAGCCTTTTTAGCTATTGTTTCATGATGATAACTGTAGTCCCTAGTTCAGTTGCTGGACACATTAAAAGGCACTACATCTCACTAATGGGTTATCATTCCATGCAAAACAGAGATTGCAGTGGCTCTAGGTGCCAATGATTACTTATTCTGAAGGGAATATCAATATTGAATAAACTCTGGGTTTTGTAATTTCTAAAAGCAATGCATCTTCAAAAAAGAGAGTATGGCTCAGTCTCACAACATTTTTTCAGGAACAGAAATATATAATAGGAACAGGACAAGCCAGAAAAATAGATAGTGAATTTAGATTAAACTTGGACAGTTTTTTCCCTTGGTAGATATTAACTGATAAAGTTGTTAACACTTAGTACAGTTTTGTAGATAGAACCAAGACACTTATTTGCCAAATACAGGGTTTGAAAGTTTCTGATGAAACGTCTAGCTATATTAACTATTTTACAATTTTATAAAGTTGAACCTTGCCTCTAGCTTCACTTTTGTAATGTTTATATTATTTAAGGATACTTTAAAAATTAAGGCCAGATTATCATGCTATATCTAGGAAAATTCTCATTAAATTTATTAGAAAGATATCCCACAATTATGTAGATATTTATATATATACTATATTTATATGTTACTATATTTAATATAGATTCTATAATATATTAATTATATAATATGTTTAACATCAAATATATAATATATAATAGTATATATGCTACATATACTACAATATACATACAAACATATATATATACACACACACAGATATACATACATATGTGTATATGAATATTTATTAAGAGCATATTATGTGCCAGGCACTGTTCTAAGCACTAGTTTGTGAGCCATAATTATGTAGAGGGCTTTTGTTTCTACCTGTAGAAATGAGTCCCTTATATCCATATGTGACTGAAGTCCACATAATCATTTTCTTTTCCTAAAAAATTCTGGTTATGTTTTATTCATTTGACTTCATAAGCAAATGATATATCCTTAAGATAAGTAGAATTAAGACTAGTCACATTTTTAAATATCATAAATGTTTTGTCTATTTTTCAGCTTATCTGTACAGTAAAATTATGATTTAATTTTTCATAATATAGTTTGACTAGAAGGAATGCAAGGCACTAGGGTCAGAGTAGGTAATTTATGTTAGCATGGTATAGATGAGGTAAATCATTTGGAATATGAGTATTTCTCTGTAATAGTGTTATAGTGGGAGGAGTTGCATAAATGTTAGTAAGGGACTAGGAAGGCAGTGAAGTGAGACTTAGCTATATTTTATGAATAGGTGAGTTTAAGCAGTATATAAAGATCAAAGCTTTAAGTTAGTATGGGCTAATGGCAGACATTAAGAATAGTTTAGGAAGAAAAGGAAGTGCTTAGTTTGGAACTTTTGGAAATATCAGAGGAAAATAGAGGAAAACCCATGAGTATCCTCTTTTAGATATTGACAAAAGGAAAATTTGTAGAATGGTGTCTTTCTAGGGAAAAAAATAAGAAAAAGAATAAGATATGCATAGACTTCACATAAATGTTCTTTTCCTTTTCTTTCTTCCCTTCCTTTCTTCTTCTCCTCCCCCTCCCTTCCCTTCCCTCCCTTCCCCTCCTCTTCTCCCCTTTCTCTCCCCTCTTCTCCCCTGTCTTCTTCTCCCTTCCTTTCCTCTCACCTTCTCTTCTCTTTCCTCCCCTCCCTTCCCTCCATTCCTCTGCCCTCCCATCCCTTCCCCTCTTTCCTCCCTTCCTCCCTTCCTCCCTTCCTCTCTTTCTCTCTCTCTCTCTCTCTCTCTTCTCTCTCTCTCTCTCTCTCTCTCTCTCTCTCTCTCTCTCCCCCTCCCTCTCCCTTTATCCTCCCTCCCTCCCTCCCTCCCATCCGTCCGTCCTTCCTTCCTTCCTTCCTTCCTTCCTTCCATCTTTCCTGCCTTCTTGCCTTCCCCTCAATCTCTTTTGGAGGATCAAAATATTTGAGCAAATACTCCAAATCTATGGGAAGTGGACTTTTTTTTTCTTTTAATGCTTCATTGAATTAGTCAATAAAATCAAAGTGTGAGAAATTGCCAAACATTGTTCTGTATGTGATTTAGTCAACTCAAGGTGCATAATGCTTAATAATGATAATACAAATGTATTGACTGTATTGCTTTTCCATATTAATGGAAGGATTTGTTTTTGATGTACCTTTCTTCAATCGCTATTTTGGAAACTGCGATTATTTTTGCTCAAAATATGCTCCCTCTTGTTGCTGAATTTAAGGCTATTAAATTTTTTTTATGATTTCTATACTTTGTTCACAGTTATGTTCTTATCTGATAAAATTAGGTATATGCATCTAATTACATTTTACCTACTAGTAGATGAGGTAAGATTTCAAAGCTAAAGCAAGTTATTGGGAAATAACCATATAAAAGATATTGCTGTTAAAATACTTGGTTCACTGGCATGGATTGATTTCTCTAATTTTAGTTTTTATAGATCCCTGATACTATATTAGCTTGCCTCACTAATGGGCTTTACTTGATCTTACACAGCACATGTTTGGGAGGGGGAGAATTATTAGTATGTCATTTGTAAAGGCATAATTATATACCAGATACCAAATCTAGCCTCTAACCTTAGATTGGGCATTTTAAAAATGGAATAGCATTGTTGATTTTTTTCACCATGGAATACAGTTTTGAATAGCATTTATTTATGTATTCCACTTGACCCAAGGGGTCATGCTTGAAAAAATTCATACATAAACAAATCAAAACATAATCAGATGTTTCTATCATCTAGTTATATTAAACTGTAAGGCAAACTAACTGTAAGCTTTCATACTAGTGTTGTAACTAGTGCCCCTTTAAATGAAGAAATTGGTTATTATTTTTCATAATCACTGGCCTTCAGAAAATTTATTTAAAACCACAGTTACTAGTAATCAGCAGCTAAAGTTCTTTCTTAAGCATGCTGCTTTAGAAAGTTAGTTATTAGTAAACAAGTTATTACTCTATTGATACAGTGACCTCTTTTTTTTTTGTTCTTTCTACTTAGAGTATGGTAAATTTCCATTCCGATAAGACTGTCTTGATTGTTGTTATCTGAGATTTAATTTCTTTTTGTTCTTTTTTGTAGGTGGAAAATTGTGGTCCTACATTAGTAGATTCTTAAACAGGAGCTCAGAAGAAAGCCTTGATGTTCAGGAAGTCAGAAAGTCTACTCTTGCTGAAGTTCATCTGCAGCAGCCAACTCCTAGTCCTAAGGACAGTAGCAGCTTGGAGTCCAGAGGAAGTGATGGTGGCAGCATGCTTAAAGTTCTGCATCTAAAGACTAGTCTTACGCCAAGTTCCCAAGAGGACAGTAGCAACCAGGAAGAAGATGGCCAAGATGGCTCTCCAAAATGGCCAGATTCTGGCTCAAGTTCAGAAGAAGAATGCACTACGAGCTATTTAACATTATGCAATGAATATGGGCAAGAAAAAATTGAACCTGGGTCCTTGAATGAGGAGCCCTTGATGAAGATTAAAGGAAATGGTGTTAGAACCAAAGATACAGGAAGCGTACCAGCTTATATTGCTCCTGGCAGTGATAGCCTCAGCTCTCAGCTGACTTCTCAGGAACTAAAATTTTTCACCGAAGATGCCAACCGTGAAGCAGCTAGCCCACCAAGAATATCAGATTCTCTTAGTAGATCAAAGAATAGCCCTATGGCATTCTTTAGGATAGATAGCAAGGATAGCACTAATGAACTCCTTGGACTTGATTTTGGTGAAAAGTTATATAGCCTGAAGTCAGAACCCTTGAAGCCATTTTTTGCCCTTCAAGATCAGGACAGCAGTTCTGGGAGTCTTGATGCTAGTGAAACTAGATTGGGGTTAAAAGCTCAGGACACCATCAGCAGGGGTTCAAATGACTCTGTCCCTGTTATTTCTTTTAAAGATGCTGCTTTTGATGATGTAAGTAGTACTGATGAAGGAAGACCTGATCTTCTTGTCAATCTGCCTGGTGTGTTGGAGCCAACAAAAGAAGCTGCGACTGAGGGGCCTGCTCAGTTGACACAGACTAATATAGGCATCTTAGAAAGTAAACTTTTAGAAGCTCCTGATGTTTTATGCCTCAGTCTTAGCACAGAACCATGCCAAGGGCTTGAAGAAAAGGACACAGAGACCTTGAATGATCCCTGTAGTCAGCAATTCCATACTATAGAAGAAAAGCACTATGCACAGGAGGGTACTAGGGCCTTACTTATTGCTGCTGTTGATCAGACCAGTTCAGGAGACAAGTCTTTGTTACTGAGTTCAGATGAGGAGTTTAAAGAATTTGAAATGGTTGCTCCCACACTAACTGCAAATAGCACAGAAGAAAGCCTATTCCTTATTTCTAATCCAGTCTCAGGTGCTAATGAATACAATGTAAACCCAGACACTTTAAAAAAAGAAGAAGTATTGCTGTTTTCAGATCGAGCTGAAGACCCTGGTGAAGAAGAGCCAACCCCTTCTTTATTTCAGCTAGACCCAAAAGACACTAAGGCTAAGGGTGACAGTGGATTAACACTAGAAGGAGAGAAGGAAATACATCAGATTTTTGAGGACCTCGATAAAAAATTAGCACTAACCTCCAGGTTTTATATCCCAGAAGGCTGCATTCAAAGATGGGCAGCTGAAATGGTGGTAGCCCTTGATGCTTTACATAGAGAGGGAATTGTGTGCCGCGATTTGAACCCAAACAACATCTTATTGAATGATAGAGGTCAGGAACTTTTGCAAATGCATTTCTTTTTATTCGCTGTTGCTTCCAATTAACTGAGTAGGCGTTTTATCTTGTAATTAGTATCTTCATTTCCTGTCTAGAGCTTCATTATCAGTGCAGCAAATTCACCCCCAGTAATAGCTTCTAGTACTTAATGATGCCATTATTCTTAATGATACTGTTTTTAGCTACAAAAGGAGTAATTACAGTTCACTTCTGCAGAAAATGGAAGGGAAAAATGTTTTGATTTCTCCTGTCGTTTTGTTTTTAGGACACATTCAGCTAACGTATTTTAGCAGGTGGAGTGAGGTTGAAGATTCCTGTGACAGCGATGCCATAGAGAGAATGTACTGTGCCCCAGGTTAGAGCAATCACCTAAAATGTTTCACTTGAAAAGTGTATCAGGGGAAGGGAGAAGAGTGAGAGGACTGGGGTGGGACCTCCAGGCTGGAGCAAAGGGCATTGGTTCAGCATGGAGGGCAGAATTGCTATTAATCCAGTAGCGGGTTGAAGTCTTTCCTGGGGCTATTCATCCCTGTGTTTCCTTTCTTGGTACTACTGCCAGTTGTCCTTGAAGACTGACTGAGTCTTTGGTTATACCATACTTTGTCCTCTGTTCCTCGTAGATGTTCTCAGTGGTCTCTTTTCTTATCTCCCTCCAGTTTTACCACAGTGGATTGGATTTTGATTTAAATCAGCCAGAAGACTTGTTTTAATCGTTTTTACATCAAAAACCAAATGCTCATTATTTGTATAACTTTAGTGTATATTTTTCACAACTTAGAAATACAGTCATAATTTTTTCATCCGTAAGAATGAGGGGAGTTCAGATAGATAATATTTAAATGCTCTTCTGGTCATAGTTCTAAAATTTCTCTCATTTCCTCTCATAGAGCTTGTGTATTCACATACTCTCTATTGTTTTGAATTTGTTCATACAAAAACCAAAATTTTTGGGAAAAAGCTAAGGATGAGCTACTGTTGAGCTCAAAAGTATGTAAGATTATTTGTTTTTCCCATAAAACTTATCTGTCAATCTACAAAATAAAGGGTTGACATGACTGGATTCCTTCTACAAAACACCTCAACTTTTTGTTCTTTGTAAGGGCCATTGTGAAATCTGTCATGCTCCTTTTAACATGTTGGTTTCATTACAAATAGTAAATACTATTTAGTGAGAGTAAAAATAGACAGGATGCTGGGCATTTTTTAAAAAGCTGTAATATGTGACATTAATGATGTACCAACCTGATCTTTCAAAATGGTCTATTTAAAGTTGTTACAGTTTTTTGTTTGAAATTTTAGGGAACACAGATATTGTTGTTGTTGATGTTTCAAATCAGCTTGGTTAGTCAAATATTTGTCGTGATAAGTTTCTGCTGTCCGCTCTGTACTATCCTCACTTTGAAAAATTCGAGATTTGTTTCTGGTGTGTGTTAAATCCTTTGTAAACATATGCAGAAGCTTAAGCACACAAGTTGGCCTTGAGTTCATGATCCTTTCTACCTGTCATTAGTATAAATGGGCCAGTTGGAATCCAGGGGTCCTCTACCTTTTACCCAGCATTGAACCTCTTTGGATTGCTAAAACTGCTTTGCTTGTCATCAGCAGTAGCCTTGAAAGGAGGCTCAGGCTGATAATATTGGAATGATTAGCACCATTATTGATCTTTCACTATATAACAGTTACCAAGTAGAGTAGTATTGGCTTTCACAGTGTCTTGCTGCAGTAACTGGAAAATATTGTAATATAAATGCAACTAAAAAGTAGATGTCTTTAAGTGAAAATTTGTTTTAAGATCAAGTTCTGTATTTGAGAGCAAGCAAAATTTTTCAGTCTTATAAGCAAATGTGAGGTAGTTCATCATACTTGATGAGTTTGCATTTCTTTTTTTCTCTCCTTCCTGTTTTCTCATCCTACCCCAAATTAGTACAGTTGGGTAGCTGTACTTTCTGAGTGCCATAGAGTACATTTTTTACCCTCTTCCAGTAGATTGTTATACCGTCTTTTGAAATGTTGTTAGTGTGATTCAGTAAATGGGAGAACAAAATCACTTCATAATGAAAAGGAAACCTTGATCAAATTACTTTATTAAGCTTGTTGTCTTGTTCTCTCTGTCTCTCTGTCTCTCTCTCTCTGTCTCTCTGTCTCTCTCTCTCTCTCTCTGTCTCTCTGTCTCCTCTCTCCCTCTCTCTCTCTTTTTCTCTCGTGCACTCTCTGTCTCTCTGTCTCCTCTCTTTCTCTCTCTCTCTCTTTCTCTCGTGCTCTCTCTGTCTCTGTCTGTCTGTCTCCCTTTCTCTCTCTCCCTCCCTGTCTCTCCTCTCTTTCTTCTTTCTCCCTCTCCCCTCTTCCCTCCCTCAAAAAGTATGCATGCTTATCTCCCCCTTTCCTATTTTGATAAGGAATAATTTTATAGGTAAAAGTGTACATTAATATTACACAATAATTGCAATCATTTACAAGGGAGTGGCAGGGAAGTTCAGTTTGCGGTGCTTGTTTTGAGTGAAAACTGAGGAATTATCTGAATGAAATCTCCTGAAGTAGAGTGCTAATAGAACAGTGTATAAGGTGAAGTTTTGTTGATTTTACATAGTTTCCTTTTTTAATGGATACAGCAAAGTTCTTAACTTTGGTTTTCATACTACCTTCTTATTTTTATACATTCAGTGAGACATCAGAAACTGTTCAATGGTGCAATTTGCCATTGTAGATTATTTTCCTGTTCGTTTTCATATTTACAATGTATTGCAATTATGGAAACTATTTATTTCAGGCAAAACTGCACTGGGTTTCATAATATGCCTTCAGTTCTGTGTAATTATATATTTCATTTGATCCTGGGCATTTCAAAAAATGCCCATTTTAAGACAAATCTCCCAAGAAATTATGTTTCTCATAATTCACCAGCAGGTGGCATTCTACCATTAATGGATTTTTGCTATCCAATTCTTTGGCTGCTTTCCTTTCCCCAGCATTAGATAAAAGCTGTAGACTGAAGAACGGCTTTGTTGTAATTATTTGCATAACAAGAATTGTACTTTCAAGCTTTGTGAGTTTCAAAATTGTTCTAGTATCATTGTATGCATTGACTAATGTGGAAGGTCTCTACTCCTTGAATGGATTAACATCTTTTAAGTTAAGAGTGAAACAAATAAAAAAGTCAATATGACTCAAAATTAGTGCTAACATTTTAATTTGCTGAAACCATATTGTTGAAGAATTCTAATCATAAAATCCAATTTTATATTTTATATTTCAAGGAAGAAAGAAAATGGCTATTACTGTTTCTTTTATAAAGGGCCAATAGTACTGATGGCAAAATGCATTCCCCTCCAAATAATATAATAACATTTAAACTATTAGCAAATTAAAAATCAGTATAGTATTTTATTGTCTTTTCATATACCTTTAGTAAATGTCAAAGGATTTGGAAGTCTCCCCCAACCTTTACATCCTCATTGTTATTTTCTGAGTATTTCTAAAGCATGTTAAGCAGCTGATGTTTGGTTAGAAAGTAAAGTTGTCACAAGATTATGATGAGAATGATTCACTTATGTTTAAACAACCCTTTGCCCCATTACCTCCTACTCCCTACCCCTATCCCTCCTCCCTTCTGGGAATCCTTATCACATATTTGTCCTAAAAACATTATCCACCTGCCCTGTACTTTATAATATCAGCAATGTATCTTTTTATCTTCTGGTTAATGTGCCTTGGTATTTTGAGAAAATTTTCCAGTAACAGATTCGATTTACATGGACAGAAACTTGAGCAAATGCCAAACTAGCAGGGGGGCCATTATTCTGCTCTATAAATAAGTTTAAAAAAGAAACAAACACACACAGAAACCTGTGAATCAACATGTTTTGGTCTAATTGGAGGGAAAAGCAAGATAGATAAATTTTGAAATGCAAATGATCACCTTCTGTTATTTAAGTATAATTTTTACCAACTTTGTGATCTTAGATTTAGAAAAGTCATTGCCATTTGAACACTACAGCAATCACTTTTACACTGTCAAGGAGGTTGGATATTCACAAGTTTCTAAAAACTAAACAAAGAACTTTTTTTAAACTATTGCCACTTTTTCTATACTTAAAAAAATGTTCCACCAAACAACAAAAAGACAAAAAAACCCACCAAGCTTTATCAGTCTACATCTGTGAAAAAGCCAGCACATTAATGGCTGCAGCTGCAGCCTTATCAAGAGGGTCTGGAGCATACGAATTCACTGATCAAACCCAGCCTTGTTTTCAAAGTGGAAACCACTCCTTTTAGGTTCTCTTTGTGTCCTTAGATTATCTATTACAGTCCTCTAGAAAATGTTTCATTTCTGTGTCATCGTGTGTGGGTATATGGGTCGCTTTCATACTGGGGCAACACAAAACCCTGGCCTGGCAGGGAGAGTAAAGGAAAGATGCTCCTTGTAGAAGTGACCCTGTGGATATGGTAACAGATGATTCCAGTATTAGGGCTCCTAGAACCCTGTCCCAGTATTCATCCAGGTGGATGACTGAATAAAAATTGAGAAATTGGCTATTTCTGAGATACCATCATCTATTTTTCTATTTTTATTTATTTTACCATAGCTGGGAATTTTTGGGTGCTTAACTGACAGTAACTTCAGTTCTCACAATAGAGAGGCATTCTTTGCTATAGCTTTCTAGAGATTCTTCCCCAAGAGCAAAACTAAGAGAGAAAAAGAAGGGGAAATATTTTTTTTCCTTACCACTATTTTCCCCCCACTCTAAACAATCTGAATGTTGTACCATAAAAAATAGCATGAGAAGGGCATATAATGTTAAACCTTTTATAGCCAAAGTCTATGCTAGCCATGCAGAATACAATCTGGGAAAGATGAGTAAGGTTGTACATCTCTCAGAGTTTTCACGCTATTATAAAGCACTTAAACTCCTCTTTCTAGTCTTAAACAAGTTGATATGATCCCCTGTACCCCCATCAGTGTGTGTCCTTCACCTTCGTTTTCCACCCCATTATGAATCTTTGCAAATGCACCCTGTATATCCCTGCTTGAAATTTAAATGGATATTTCCCATTGAAAGCTTTCTAGAATTAAGAATTTACAGGTAAATGTCTGTTTAAATTGAAGAAGTCCAAAATGCTTCATACCACAACCTGATCTCCACGCTCCCAGATGTCAGATGACAGCTTTGCTCCCTTTCTTAGGCGATTTCACACTAGGAAGCAGCTCACAGCTGACTGTGGAAAGCACAACATGAAAAATGCTGAAAACTGTCCGCAAAATTGGGTTTTAGAGCATGACATTTATTTTGCTGACAGCTTTTCCTCCACCAGTCCCGTTTTACCAAATAATTTGTGAGTATATTTCTTTTAGATAAT